CTGAGATCCTGGGTGCCTGAAAGAGAACTGCAGCTGCAGAAAGGCTGGGGGACACTTGGCTCAACCACGCTTTGTTTTCCTACCGCATGAAGCCCAGACTGCCTCTTTTCTTCTTTCCACAAGACTTAACACACCAGCAGCAATGACCATGGAACTTGCAGAACAGCTGGGGAGGGAATCATTCTGCATCGCTTCTTTTTTGGATGTTATTACTCAGTACAGACCACCACTTTCTTCTTACTTCGGGTAAGTGAAATTAAGTTACCAGTAACAAAAGGGAAGTGGGGAGGGGGAGATAGAAGGTGGGACAGAGGGAGGGAGGCAGCTGGGGCACGGGAGGAGGTGGGGAGAGTTCAAATAACACAAAGGATGAGGCCCCTAAGTTATTGTTCTAGGCCCAGAGGGATTTGTACATTTCATTACATATACATAGTTTAAGTCTTGGACTTTATGTCAGAGATGGAAGGGGGCTAAGATTTATTTGATTCATTGCATGGAGCTGTTTGTTACAAACTTAGCTTTGTCCAGTTTCTGAAGGAGAGACACAGAGTTGGGGGAATCAGGAGGAGTTGGGATGAAGAATGATTTAGCAGAGTTGATGCTCACGAAGAGAAGAGAAAGATCATTTGAAGGTCTAGTTGCCAAATAAAGTAGGAGCTTCTTTGAATCTTATTCAGCAGTCTGTTATTCTCTTTTCATTCTTATCCACTCTATCTTAAATGACTGACTCTCCTAAACTATTAGTTATGATGACTGTATGCTGCAGTGGATTCTTGGAAGGGGTTTCTTATAAGGATACCAAATACTAGATGATTTCTAAAGACTCTCTAACTTCATGATTATCTCTGCTCAGGCTCTAATTTGGTAGCTAAATCTTTGGATGTTATTTTTGCCTTGGGCATTTTCTTTCTTTCTTTCTTTTTGATACAAATAATTTAGGACTTCTAAGAGCCCGGAGTACCTGAATGGCACCATACTTTATGCCAAAGAGGAAGGGAATCAAATGAAAACGTATTAGTAGCAATTTCATAGCATACAAAAGGGCTTCCCGAATAGTTCCATGAGGTATACAGTATAGTTATCATTCCCATTTTATAGATGAGGAAATTGAGGCTTAGAAAGGTGAAGTGGCTTGCCTTCTAGGAAGTGTTAGAGCTGGGATTTGAACCCAGATCTCTTGATTCCTTATCCAATGCTCTTTCAACTACACCTCAAATTGTGGATGATGCATTAGCCAGCTCTCCATAGTCTATATTAACTTGCATGTCTGTAACCATTATACTAGTGGCCAGCATTCCACTTCCCATCAGTGTTCCATTTTGATTCTTTCCTTCTGTTTATCTAACATTGCCTTCTTCCTCTGGTCTGGTGTTCTGACATAGGTGAAACAATTAGCTGGATTCCCTAGGCTGGCTTCCCTACTCTACACAGGGACCATAAGGACATTGGAAGATGGAAAGAGGGAGGGGAGTAGGAATTTAAGATTCTTTCTAAAGGACCTCTGAAACAGCTCCATTTAAACCTGATCATAGGATCTGTATGTGTTATAGTAATAACAGATTGTGTTTAATTTTTTTTTACATTGTCATCTCTCATGTTTTCAAAGTATTCTAATGTGGAAGGGGGAATAGGTAGGGAAATTGAATTAAGAGGATGGCTCAGTAGTACAAATACAAATTGCTTTTGCCAGAACACCCCTGTAAGGTGGATTGTGCAAGTATGAACAGGCCCAGAGGGGTGAAATCAATTGCCCAGGTCACATGGATAGTAAGTAATGAGCCAGAACCAAAACTCAAACCTAAGTCTTCTGACTCTGACCTTAGTCTTCTTTCTATTATGCTACTGTCAAATCTATTTCCTGACTCAACCTTATCATAGATTCATAAGCTAGAAGATGACAGAGATACTAGTCCAAACTCTTCTTTCTACAGATGAAGGAAATGAGGCCCAGAGAGGTTTCCTATTGACAAGGTCACTCAGAGAAGAACCTATATTTAAATCCTGTGATTTGCATTCTGACTCCAAATGCTACACTACTATTCCACTAAGAGGTGACAAGCCAGCAATCATATCTCTAGATCAGGAGTTCTTAACGTGGTGTCTGGGAACTTGTTTTTCTTAATATTTTGATAATTATACTTTGGTGTAACTGGTTTCTCTTATAATCCCCTATCTTTTTAATTTATACATTTAATAATATTCTTAGAAAGGGTCCATATGTTTCACCAGGTTGCTAAAGGAGGATCCATTTTACATAAAAGTTTAAAAAACCTTTGCCACAAAGGTAGCAACTTTTGATTCCTTTTGACTCCAATCTGTGCAGCCAGTTTAAACCCAACCTGGTGTTAAAGGACAAAGTACAGCCTGGGGTGAGCTTCTGCAGGGAAATCTTTTCTGGTCAGAGTTAGAAGGCTGAGTGTCTCACTTGGGATATATAAAAAGTCCTAGGTCGAAAAGAAAAGAAGAAAGTCCTAGGTCAACACAAATCTTCCCAGCAACCTCAAGCTCCTCTGGTCAATCATGCTAACACATGGCCACCTCTAGAGTCCCATCAGAGAGACATAAGAATGGAAAAGAGAGTGCTTTCTGTAAAAGAAACAAAATAACCAATAGCAGCCTGTGCAGTGCACTTACCTGGGAGTTAGGAGGCTTGGGTTCAAATCACAGATCTATGATTTACCAGTTTTGCGACTACAGGTAAGTCACTTGCTGCCAATGAGATTCCTTCTCCTTTAATTGAGGGGTTGGACTGAATGATTTCTATGGTTTCTTTCAGTTTGAATATTCTATGAGAGACTTTCAGAAATCTAGTCTTAGGACCCAGAATCCATCCTTAAATTGTTCCTTCTTCATGCAATACATAAAATAGGAATAGGAACTGGACCTGTGATTTCATTGATAGAGGGATCTCCTTCATGAGGAAAACCTTACCAAGGCAACTTATAGTCTTAAAGAATTGCCTAAAGCTCTGAGGTTAAGTGACTAGACTAGAGTCATACAGCCAGGATGTGTTGGAGGTGGAACTTGAACCCAGGTCTTCCTTTTTCTGAGACCAGCTTCTCTATCGCTTACCCAAGGCTTCCTCTCCACACAAGAGACTGCTTATAAACAGATTTTTTTTCCAGTGGATAGTCTTTCAGATTCATAGAATATTAGAACTAGAAGAGATCTTAGAGATTATCCAGTTCAACAAGGCCATTTTATCACCTTCAAAGTGATAAAATTCAAGCCTTTTCAGAAGTCAAATCTTTCCCCATGCGGACACCCACTCAACCTTTGCCATCATATACTTGGCTTTAGGTTGTGTCAGTGGAACAGAATGTAGCAGTGGGTGCCAATGTCCTGTCCTGTCCTGTCCAGTCCTGTTCAGGGAAGTAAAAGATGATGACCTACAAGGAGGAAATGTATAAGAACCATCAGTTCCTGGGGAAGGAACCTCCACTGCTGTGTTGGAGCCAGCTGGAACTGTTGATTCCTGGGGTAGCCAGGCTGTTGAGAACTCCTCTCTCCTTCTGCCCGAGTTTTTTTTTTTTTTTCCTCTCTCTCCAACTCCCCTCCCTGTCCTTAAGGTGAAGCAACCCCAGCCATATGGTACGTAGCTTGGGAAGGGAGCTTGGGCCGTGTCTAGGGAGAGAGGCTTCCCTTAGCAGCTAGAAAGAGAGGGAGAGAGAGATCACGCCCGCCAGATATGGGAGTAGTCTCAGCAAACAAAAGGCTTATGGATTTCTTCTGGTCTCCTCCAAAAGAAAGAGGTGGAGAAATTCTACCCACGGGCCGGAGCAAGGAAATAGGAGCAAGAGGGGCTTGAGGTGGAGGAGATTTAGGGGGCCTGGGATAGAATCCATTGCAAAGAGGTTATCCCAAGGAAGGGCGTCTTCTCTTGCTGCTGCTGGTGCTGCCACCAGCCAGCCAAGCGTGTCTTCGGCTGACTGCAAACTCCGCCTAACAATACTGCATCCTCCTCCTCCTCCTCCTTCTTCCTCCTCCACTCAGCCCAGAGATCAAAGCCAGTAAGTAGATACAGTTTCCAGCCCTCCAGACAGCTCGCAATTTCTCTAACTCTCAATGTCTCTCGTCCAGTCTCCCCCACTCCCCCACGAACTTGTCTCCTTTCTAAATGCACAAAAAACACGCTTTCTCCCTACTTTGCTCCCCCACCCACGACCCTCCCTGTACAAGTTACCAAACAGCTCCCCTAGTCAAGGGAGAGGAGCGCTTAGTATGGAGAACTCCCTCCAAAGCCAACGTGCCTTTCCTCTCTCTTCTTAGCTAAATGGGCTGCTGTCACTGCCACTACTACTATTGCTGCTGCCGCTGCCGGTGGTGCTGCCGCTGTTGCCGCATTCAGCTGGGATGGTCTTCCTTCTCCTCCTCTTCCCTGCTCATCAGCCCAGTGCTGCACCGCCCCCTGCGACCTCCCCAAAGTAGGGGCTGGTGCAGCTTTTTGCGCTAAGGCTGTCTAATGACTGGTGCTGAGGATGCTGGGCGGGTGTAGTTTAGATGTGCCGTGGGTGTAGTAGTGGAGAAGGAAGGGGTGAGTGCGGACTGCATTTGTGCTAGTCAGTATGCCAGGCTGACGTGTGCTCACACGCCTTCGATGTGTGTAGTAATACTGCAGTGGGCTTCTCCCTCTCACTACCCTCTCAGCACATGGACTAGACCATCTGGGCTGCAGAACCTCGCACCTGACGGGATCACATTTTGGATCAGCCTGGCTAATCTTACTGGGGTCTTCCTCTCCAACAATTCCCCTGCAGATCTTACTTGTGATTCCACCCAGGGTGCAGCTGCCTTCCACACAAATACAACTAAAATAATAAGTCCTTCTCCCGTCCCTTCTTAGAGTATATATTTTTTCTTGGTGGGCTTTCCCTGAGGTTGCTGAGCCAAATCAGTCTAGTCTCTCCTATCATTTGAAATTAATTCGTTGGACTGCAGCACCGAGGCAGAGAAGTTGGGGACTTTATTTCATATTCTCTCGCTTTTCGGTCAACGGAGCAATGAAATTTCCAATCGAGACTCCAAGAAAACAGGTGAACTGGGATCCTCAAGGTTGGTGTTGCTTACTTTTCACTCCCCCATCCACAACTCCTCTCTCTTTCCTAGTAATTGGTGACAGCATGCGGATTTGGAGTAATCTTTTCTCCATGTGCCCTGCTCCGTGAGTGGAAGGAATCTTGCTCTTGTCAGTGTGTGTCCTTAAGCTTGGAAATGCTCTTGGGAATTGCCGAGCAGGTGGGGGAAGGAGGCAGGAGGGTATTCATTCTGAAAATCGACACTACTATTATATGTATTTTAAGTTCTAGGGTTGAAAAATATATTTTATGGATGAATTAGTCAGAGATACAGAGGGCTAGTTGAATGAAATGCAGCAAAGTATATAATAATGACTGTTAATATATATTATTTAAAAAATTTCTGTGTGGCTCCTTTGTTTCTGGTGATCTTTGTCTCTCTGGTAAATGGGTGGTATACTTACTTGGAGTCAGATGTGGTTGCCTGCCTAGGGTGTCCTCGGTGGGAAAGGTATCCTGGCAGCAAGCAGGGATAAAGAAACCTGCTGTAACATCTTCCTCAGGGATGGCTCACTGCTCAGGGCACGTTAAATAATGGAACCCAAAGGGACCTTTCCAAGTCTTGACTCAATCTTATTACTGTTGGAGCAGTGATTACCGTTCTGCTAAGGTTGATTACCTCTCCTACTCCACTCAGGAAAGAGGAGATAGGGTGGGGCGTGAAAAGGAAATGTGTACTCAGCAAGTGCTACTACTAAGGTTGGAAAATGCTTCTTCAGCCCAAGAGGGAAAGGGTGAAAACGCATTTGTGCTTGATAAGTATGGGAAACTGTCACTGAAATTAGCATACAGATGTTTAATCTTCTCCTAAGTGATTAGTGTGGGAGCAGAACAAGTTAAAGCCATATGTCCAGTTTTGCGTCAAGAATGCTTTTTAGTAGTTTTCCAAGGGAAGTCTGAAAGATGACACAATCTAGACAATTAGTTCGTATTCCAGGTCTAATTTTGTGTTTGGTTTGTGCAGCAGAGCTGGCTTCTTCTTGTTTGTTTTTCCCACCATGTAAAAGTACATTTCCACTTTTCTCCAGAAGGGAGGTAAAAAAGAAAAAACAATCATCTCTTCAACAAATGTCTCATGAGCTGGTTGACTATTGGGGAAGTGATATTACTTTCTTTACACTAACTCCTCTAGAAGCTTAATAATCAGGAAACCTAGCAACTGATCTCCAAATCTACCCTAGAAATGGAAATACATATATGGACAATCAATGTCTTGTATGTTCATACAATACTAATAAACACAGTTGAATTCTGATAGTATCTCACATGGTAGGTGCTAAATAAATATTTATTGACTAGTCACTCAGTGGAGTAGGTAGATATTCCATCTTATATATTCAGAAACAGACTTTAAGTGGGATGCTTACATTCATCCAGCAACATGTGTGTATACATGTATAAATTAATGTATTTATATAAATATTAATACATCATAGTATATAATATATAACACATAGCATACAATCATAGCACATCAACTCTTTTTAATATAAACATTAATATAGAATTAGATGTTATTATATAGAAACAAATATATATTTTGTATATATGTATGTATACATGTGTATACATGCTTGTAAATATACACATACATACACATATATGCATACATACATCTATCTATATGTCTATCTATCTATTTATCTATCTATCTATCTATCTATCTATCTATCTATCTATCTATCTATCTATCTAATCTATCTATCTCACCAAAGGTGAGCCTGGTGGGGAAATAAATGCTAGGCCATAGGTAGGTAACTTTTCTGCAGTGGCATGCCCCAGAGAGGTAACTACAGTTGGATGAATAGCCCTTTTCCTTAGGGCACTGAGATTAGAAGGCTCAAAACTTTAATGTGTAGTTTTAAATTTTGTTTACCCTTTGATAGCACCTTAACTTCTTCAGCAACAGAAAAACTAATTAGCAAGAATCAATAATTAAACTAGGAAGGCAATAGATTGTATCATTACTTCTATTCCTTCCTCTCCTTTCCCCTCCCTACTTCCTCCCTACTCATGGGCTGTGGCTATATGCCAGAAAAACTCTTCTCTGGTCTTACTCTTTCTTGCTTCAACCTAGGAAGTGGCTTGCACAGTAGTAGATTTCCAGTGTCCAGCAGTTTCCCTCTTCTGAATGATTTGAGGGAGCATTTACTGATACTTATTTAAGGTGATTTTGTATTCTTTCTCTAGGGCCCAACATTGCCAGTAACAGTTTTGTCCTACACAGCTTTCATTCTTTTGTTGTTGTTCAGTTGTTTTCAGTTGTGTCTGACTCCTTGTGACCCCATTTGGGGTTTCTTTGGCAAAGATACTGGAGTGGTTTTCTATTTCCTTCTCCAGCTCATTTTACAGATGAGGAAACTGAGGCAAATAGGGTTAAATGACTTGCCCAAGGTCACACAGTTAGACAGTGTCTGAGGCCAGATTTGATTTTAGGAAGATGAGTCTTCCTGACTCCAGGCCCAGCCTTCTATCCACTGAGCCACCTAGCTGCCCTTCATTTATTTACTCACTTGTAAATGAAGTGAAGGTGAATGGGTGTGGTGGTTTTCTATTTTAAGGAGTTAAGGGAAGAGGGCAAGCAGAGCCTTCTTTGCTCACAAACAAGGGACATGGCTTAAGCAACGTGGTGGATCCAGTGGCAAAGGTCTATCAGGGACACTGTGGGTATAAATTCCTGGGGAACTCAGTTTTCTAGCATTCAAAATTTTCAGAGGACTGAAGTGGAAACAGATGGTCATAAGGAGGGGAAAACTGGTAGATCAGTGGTACAGGTTTTCATGAAAACTTTTTTTTTTTACCATTGTTTGGCTAAACTAAACTAAAAATGGCTTCTTGATCACTTTTTTGCTTGAATAAACAACCAACCAGTCAATTAATGGGCCAGGTACTGTGCTGGAGATACAAAGGTAAAAATGAAAACATTTCTGGGAGCTTGTGTTCTTGTGAGGAAGACTACGTATCTAAATAAGTATATACAGAATAAAAAAATGAGGAAGAGAACCTGGTGGTGGTTGGGTTTTTTAATTTTTTTTGTATAGGAAACTCCCAGGTGAGGAAATTCTGATTCAGGTTGTCAATTTTTGCACAATTTGTAGTCATAGAAGAGATGCCTAGAACATCGAGAAGTTAAAAGTTTGTCCAAGGTCACATAGCTAGAATATGTCTATGGTAGCACAGGAATTCTAGTCTTCCTGGTTTCAAGTATATACTTTATGCAGGCATACATAGTTTTTTTGCACTTCGTACATAGATATTTAGGTGTTTTGTTTGTTTGTTTTTACAGATTGAAGGTTTTGGGCAACCCTGTGTTGAACAAGTCCATAAGTGCCATTTTCCCAATAGCATGTGTTCACATCGTGTCTTTGTGTCACATTTTCATAATTCTCGACATATTTCACACTTTTTCATTATGATTACACCTGTTATGATGATCTGCGATCAGTGATCTTTGACATTATTATTGTAACTATTTTGGGGCAACATGAACCACGTGCATATAAGATGGCAAACTTAATCGAAAATATTGTGTGTCTTTTGACTGCTCCACCCACTGGCTCCTTAGGTCTCCCTATTCCCTGAGACACAACAATGTTGAAATTAGGCCAATTAATAACTCTACAATGGCTTCTAAGTGTTTGAGTGAAAGGAAGAGTCAATCAATGTGGCATACTTCATTGTTGTCCTATTTTAAGAAATTGCCACAGCCACCAAAACCTTTAGCAACTACCACCCTGATCAGTCAGCAGCCATTAACATCAAGGCAAGACCCTCTACCAGCAGAAAGATTATAACTAGCTAAACGCTCAGATGATGGTCAGCATTTTTAAGCAATAATGTATTTTTAATAAAGATATGTGCATTGTTTTTTAGATATAATACTATCGAACACCTAATAGACTACTGCATAGTGTAAACATTAACTTTTTTTGTTTTTGTTTTTAATATAAATTTATTTATTTTTAGTTTTCAACATTCACTTCCACAAGTTTTTGAGTTCCAAATTTTCTCCCCATCTCCCCCCTCCCCCCACCCCAAGATGGCATGCATTCTGAATATCCCTTCCCCTAGTCTGGCCTCTCTTCTGTCTCTCCCCCTTTCTCTTATCCCCTTCCTCTTCTATTTTTCTGTAGGGCAGGATAGACTTCTGTACCCCATTTCCTATATTTCTTATTTCCCAGTAGCATGGGAAAACATTTTTTTTAAACATATGCTTTTAAAACTTTAGGTTTCAAATTTTCTCTCTTCCTCCCTCCCCACCCACCCTCATTGAAAAGGCAAGCAACTCAATATAGGTTGTACATGTGCAGTTATGCAAAACACTTCCATAGTAGACATGTTGTGAAAAACTAACTCTATTTCCTTTAATCCTATCCTGCCCTCCCATTTATTCTATTCTTTCTTTTGACCCTGTCCCTCCTCAGAAGTATCTACTTCTGATTACCTCCTTTCCCATCTGCCGTCCTCTCTATCATCCCCCTGCTCTCTTGTCCCCTTCTCCCCCTATTTTCCTGTGGAGTAAGACAGATTTCCACACCCAATTGAATTAAACGTTAACTTTTATATACACTGGAATCCAAAAAATTCTTATGACTTGTTTTATTGTGATATTTGCTTTATTGTGGAGGTTTGGAACTGAACCCACAATATCTCTGAGGTATGCCTGTATTTCACGTCACATTGCCCCTCTACAGGACATAGACAAAAATAAAGGGCCATCTCCAGTCATTCTGATCTATATCTTGCCATTGGACGCAGGTGTCTCTGGAGGAGAAAGCGAGGCTGGTGACCTTGCATGGTCCTTTTTGAGAACAAAAGATAAACAACAATAACAATGAAATAAATGCAAGGTAAATACTAGGATAGAGTGACTAGATAGAGAGGGCCTGAACTAGGGAAGCAGCAATGCATGGAGAGAGAATGGAAGAAATATTGTGGAGGCAGAAATGACAAGATTATGACATCAATTACTCTTCT